GATTGACGCACAACGCTCATTTCAGGCTTGCGTTTCAGTCACCAGTCGTGAATACTCTCCTACGCAGCGTCGCTTTGGTGATGCATGTCAAGGATTCGCATGGTGACTTGGGCTGGACTATTCACCATGCACTGCTCATCGCGACTCTTGGCTGCGAAGCATGCCATCCATGCGCTCTCGGGCGCCGGAGGGTGAAATCTTCCCAAGTCAGCTACGCGCGATGGCTGTCGCAATCTGAATGCAGATGCGAGGAGATCAAAACCTCATCAGCTGATATATGCTGCAGCAGCAGCAGGGAGCTCTTTGTGCGCAGACCTGGAACAAATCGAGATATTTTGAGCGCTCCTTGAAACGGCGGGGTCGAGGCGTTAAAAATTCACATCCAGGTTCACTAACTCTTCTTGATTCAACATTAAATTTCAATTTCCCAATTGGCTTCGTGATTCACGTGATGGCGTTTTGATCGCTACGACAGTCTTGAGTCTTGAGTATTCGTGATTTTCTTATTCAAGAGTGAGGATTTGAAAGCGAGGGATTCACCTCGCCTCTATTATAAATTGACGCAGATCGTTGAGGGTGGCTTGGTCGTACGCAGCTCGTGTGAGGTCAGTCCTTCCATTGAGCTCTACTGAGCCTCGACGTTTGACGACCAGAAGAGATTGGGCGTTCCTCGGTTCTGTTGCATGCGAGACCGCGTCGTGAGTCAAAAAGAAGTCGTAAGTCAAGTTATGAGACAGATGAGTCAAAGTCTTGATTCAAAGTCGAAATTGCAAGATCCGTACCACGTGACTCGCACCGGTTCTCGTCCGCCGTCCGACGCCAAATTTGGAGCCCGACGCACCGAGCTCCACTCTTGACTTGCTCAGGCTGATCCGCGCAAGGTCTGCCTCATCTGACTTTAACATCATCTCCACCATATACAAGTGTATCAGCACTCTGGTCAGCTCATCAGTCTCGATCTAGTCGCGAAATAAAACAACATGTTCGGAGGTGCGTTCATAGTCAAATAATCACGATTGTGGCGCAGTCATGCTCGCATTACTCCACGTTTCCACCCGCACTTGGACAATGCTCATGACATTCACTGTGACTTTTGCTTCGTCCAGGTCCTCCGCCCCCACCAAGCGCGCTCGAAGTGGCAGCCATGAGAGCCCGTGCGCATGCGACCCTCAAAAGCTTCGTCACGTACGCCGCGGGCCTCTATGCCAGTGAGTGTTCTCGACGTGATGTGATGCCGCTCTCCGATTTTGGGTATGTAGGTAGCTGACCAGGCGACAAATTCACCCCACATAGCTCCCTACATCTTTCACTACATCGGCAAGCTCTTGCGCTAGACCAATGAATGGAGCGCTCAACGACGACGAAGAAGAGGATATGACTCTCCGTTGCGCATGCGACACGCATACTGGAGAGCTGAGATGCAAGGCTGGGCATGATCATGCTTGGTCGTTTGAAGAGAATAGAGGACGAGCAAAGGAATCAAGACGTGGGCGAAGGACAAAGACGATGTAGCAGCTGCAAAAGCAGAAAGTGCTTCCCTCTTTAATCAAATTTGATCAGGCTTCCAATTGATGCTCCTCGCTCTTGTTCGCCATGGCGTGCTTCACAGTCACAACGAAGCAGGGCAGGACAGAGACTATTCACCTCGCATTTGCCTTTTACGGAGGCGGCAGCGAGCAGTTTGCATGGCGAGAGATTAGGGAAAGGAAACAGAAACCGGGACACAGTTGGATGTCTGGGACAGTCGACTCGTGAACCCACGCATG